TGAGTTAAGGTCTGAGTTAATCTGACCCATTTAGCTGTGCTGTAGTTTCTTTCTTTCTTTCTTTTTCTTCTCCTTGCATCACCTGTGTGTCACAATAGCATTTCAAGACATTTGTCAGAGAGCCAGCTGGGAAAAGCTGACTTAAAAGTCGGAGGTCTGCTTGCTGCTGAAGAGTAGCAATCACTGAGATTCTCCCAGTGTGTTGCATCTCACAGCATTCAAGCACAGTCTTCATGTGAGTCAGCTGCTTACCAAGGGAGTCAGCTGCTTACCAAGGGAGCCCTACTAGTGTGTGTGGAGTTAGGGGTGGGGGGCAGTGCCTCCTCCCTCTGCTCTTTGATATTCCATGCTGTCTGTGGCCCTTAGAGAAATATCAAACCTAGTAATAAACCAAACCAGACCAAACACACTGCCATCTAGTCTGTTCCAACCATTAGCAACCCCCAATGAGTTTCCAAGGTGGTAAATCTTTATGGAAGGAGATTACCTCATCTTCATTTCTTGGAGCAGCTGGTGAATTTGAATCGCCAGCCTTCTGGTTAGCAGTCAAATGCTTTAAGCACTGCACCACCAGAGTCCACTAAGCCTGGTAATACCAGAAAAAAAAAAAAAAAAAAAACCAATTCACTGCAATAGTAACAACTAATTCTTATACAGAGTTAGCTGTGTACCAGACACTGTTGCAAGCAGTTTGTGTATATTAACTTATTTAATCCTCACAAATGACCCTATAAGGTGGGTATTATCCTTATCATTTCCATTTTACAGATGTGAAAACTGACACTTAGGATAACTAAGTTGTCCAAGGTCACTCAGGTAAAAAGTGGTAGAGCAGGTGTCCTGACCTTAGCTATGTGATGGACAAGTGGATGGATGAATGGATGGGTGGGTGGGTGGGTGGATGGATGGATGGATGGATGGATACACAATAATCTGTGGTGAATGGAGCAGAGACAGTGAGTGCTGTGGAAGCTCAGCAGAGGGAAGACTCTGTGGGCTGGAGACAGCAGGGATTTCTTCTGTGACCCTTCCCTCTTATTAGAATTAAAAGAAAAGAAAAAAACACAGTGTTAGTATTTTTCTGTGTTAAAGATCTTTGCACTTGGTTTAAAATATAAATACACACACAATCAGTTTTCTACTGAGAGTGTGGGCACCTCTCAGGGTACAATCTATAATAGAGGTTAAATAAGACATAGACACAACCTCCTTCCCAGAAATCTCTTCCCAACATTGTAGCTGGATAGTCTGGGCAAACCACTTAAACTCTCTGCAGCTTAGATTTTTTTGTCTGGACCTATCCATTGGCTAAAGTCCTTGATAATTGTATTCACAATCATGATAGCTGCTATTGACAGAGTATCTGCCATTTGTCCGGACTGTGCTATGCACCTTCATGCATTATCTTCTTCTCTTCCATATTTTTATTCTTGTGAGCATTTTACTTTCAGAAGGATTTCAAGGAATTTAACTTTTAATGTAATTTTAAAATAGACTTTATTTTTAAAAGCAGTTTTAGGTTTACAAAAAAATTGTGCAGGAAGTACAGAGAGCCCCCATATATCCCCTTACCAACCTCCCATGCAAAATGTTTAATCTTGCATTCCTATAGTACATTTGTTACAACAGAAGAACCAATATCAATGCATTATCATTAATTAAAGTTCATTTTAAGGTTCACTGTTTGTGCTGTGGATATTAACAAATGCAAAATGTCATATATCCACCATTACAGTATCAAACAGAATAATTTCACTGCCCAAAATATGCCCCACCCCGTGCTTCACCTACTCATCCCTAACCATTCCTCCTGACCACCTGGCACCCCCTGATCTGTGTGTGTGTGTGTGTGTGTGTGTGTGAAGAGAGAGAGAGAGAGAGAGAGAGAGGAAAAGAGAGAGAGAGATAGAGAGACTTGGGTGAAAGTTTACAGAGCAAAATGGTTTTCCATTCAATAATCCATACACATTCTGTTTTGTGACATTTACTGCAATCCCCACACTGTAACAGCATTCTTCCCACTTCCTCCCTGCACTCACCCCTTCCCTTCGTCCTTTCTTCCCTTCCTCCTCTGCTTTCTTAGCTCTATCATCCCTGGGCAAATGCTGTTCTCTTGATCTCATATGCTTAATTGTTCTAATGAGTGCATATTACTGTTCACATTATGAGCCTGTTTGGCTGCCAGTTGAGTCACGGTGGGCAGAGGGTGTGTGTGTGTGTGTGAAGTTCCTAGCTTGAAGAGTTTCTAAGAGTCATAGTCTCAGTTGTTCTACCAGTCTTCATCAGACCAGTAAGCCTGGTCTTTTTTATGATTTTGAGTTTGTTCCACATTTTCCCCAACTCTATCCAGAACCTCTTACTGTGATCCCTTTCAAAGTGGTCAGCAGTGGTAGCTGGGCACCATCTAGATCATCTGGTCTCAGGGTAATGGAAGCAGGGATTCATGTGCTCCATTAGTCCTTTGGACTAATTGTTTCCTGCATCTTTGATTTTCTTCACTCTTCTTTGCTCCAGACAGGGAGAGATCAATAGTTACACCTTAGATGGCTACTCACAAGCTTTTAAGACCCCAGTTGCTATTCACCAAAGTGGGATGTAGAACATTATCTTTGTGGACTGTGTTACACAGTTGACCTTATCCACTGATGTTTTTACTGCATCTATATTTTTCCTTTTCCCAGAATCTCATATTGTTGGAATCATGCAGTATGTAGCCTTTTACCTCCTAATGTTTTGGAAGTTTTATAGCTCATTTCTTCTTATTATTGAATAATGCTCTATTGTATGAATGTACCATTATCTTTACCCACTCACCTATGGAAGGACATCTTGGTTGCTTCCAATTTTAAACAGTTACATGTGTTATCTTTTACTCCTCATAACCCTTATAGATCAGGCAACTGAGATGTACAGAAGTATCCATGTAACTTGTCCAAGGTCACACAGACAGTAAGTGACAATGCTGGGCAGTACAAGTGCCTCAAGGACAAGAGACATATGCTTATTGTTTAACCCAGCCAGGGTTGATTGTTGTTGTTGTTGTTAGGTACCCTCAAGTATTTTGACTTACAGCAACCCTATGCACAACAGAATGAAACACCACCATCGCCACAATCGTTGCTAAGCTTCAGCCCATTGTTGTAGCCACTGTGTCAATCCATCTCTTTGAGGGTGTTCCCTTTTTTTGCTAACCCTCTACCTTACCAAACATAATGTTCTTCTTCTGGGACTGGTCCCTCCTGATAACATGACTAAAGTATGAGAGGCAGAGTCTGGCCATTCTTACTTCTAAGGAACATTCTGGATGTACTTCTTCCAAGACAGATTTGTCCATTCTTCTGACAGTCATAGTATATTCAATATTCTTCACCAATACCAGATTTCAAATGCATCAATTCTTCAGCCTTCCTTATTCATTCTCCAACTCTCACATGCATATGAGTTTATTGAAAAAAACAATGGTTTGGGTCAGATACACCTTAGTCTTTCAAAATGATATAATTGCTCTTTAACACTTAAAAGAGGTGTTTTGCAGCAGATTTGCCCACTGCACTATGGTGTCTAATTTCTTGGCTGCTGCTCCCATGGTCACTGATTGTGGATTCAAGTAAAATGAAATCCCTGACAACTTCAATCTTTTCTCCATTTATCATGATGTTGCTTATTGGTCCAGTTGTAAGGATTTTTTTGTTTGCTTTATGTCAAAGTCTAATCCATACTGAAGACTGTAATATTTGATCTTCATCAATAAGTGCTTCAATTCATCTTCACTTTCAGCAAGCAAGTTTGTCTCTTTAAGATGTTATCTCCACATCAATCCTGATGGCACATTCTTCTTCATATAGTCCAGCTTCCTGGATTATTTGTTCTGCATACAGATTGAATAAGTATGGTGAAAGGATATAACCCTGACACACACCTTTCCTGATTTTAAATCATACAGTATCCCCTTGTTAGGAGGAAATGTTTGATGGATGAATGTGTGTGTGGAAAGAGATGTAGATTGAAGTGCAGCACAAATAGGAATCCCTTACCTTTGCACCAAAGTAATTCCATGAATAAGCTTTGAGGAGCTCTAGGAACCATTCAAAATTGTGTACAATATTTTGCACAGACGGGAGACCACATATACCATCTGTTTCATCTTCCAAAAGATTAAGAACCATTAAATGTGCTGTAAAGGGCAAAGAGGGAAAGGACTCATGAAAAAGATGGAAACAGAACTTGTGTTAAGATACAGAAGAGAAATAACTTTTTAGGATATTTTCTTTATGAGAACTGAAAACTGAGAACAAGAGGTGTGGTGGAAAATAAGGAATGTCAATGCTCTGACAGATTTGTGGGATGGTAAGTCAGGTGCCAAGTGGAAAAGGGGAGTCAAGGAGGCCATGAAGAGTCACTAGGTTTCATAGAGAGAGAGAGGCACAGCATGCCACTCAGGGCTGCATGGGGGACATGACAGCAACAAGCTGGAATTGTAGGAGAGGACTTATGAATAGCAAGCAGGATAGAGTTAGTGAGGTTGCACAGGTTTCCTGGGCATCTGGCAGTTTGAATAACTCCTCTGACTAGGGGTATAGGGGCTGTGCCTAGGTTTTGGGTACCTGACCCTAGTGTAACTAGGGCTGGTGCATAGTGGCCTAGGGGTGTGAGAACTTGATAAGGCAATGGTTGAAGAGTAGAATTAATCAGCTACTCAAAAAAGAGAGCAGACTTACCTCAAAACTTATCAAGATAGCATTTTAAGAAAATGTATTACAGTCAGCTACCATTTTACATTTTGAGAAATGAAGGCCACAGAAGTTTGATGACTTGCTTGAGGTCACAGAGAGGAGAGTAGATCTAAGCCTAGAACCCCAGCATCCTGAGCCCCAGCCCATGCTGTCTTCAGTAGGCTTATTGTCTGTCCTTCCTCACAGAAGCCAACACCTTCCAAATGAGGCTCCTGGACTGCCCCTCTGCTGACCTCATGGATGCTCTTTCCCTTGCTTTCCTTTCAGAAGTGGAGCAGATTGAGGCCATCGCCAAGTTTGACTATGTGGGACGGTCCCCGCGTGAGCTGTCCTTCAAGAAGGGGGCCTCACTGCTACTGTACCATCGTGCCTCAGAGGACTGGTGGGAGGGTCGACACAACGGCGTGGATGGACTCATCCCACATCAGTACATTGTTGTACAAGACATGTGAGTGGGAATCAAGACCTTGTGTGAAAAATGCTGCAATAGATTAGTGATGTCTGGAAGGGTCGCAGGCAAGGAGTACTGGGTTGTATGCCAGTTATTTGCTCTCCCTGATAAAATACATTTGCTCTTCTGTAAGAATGTGTTCTATCTAACTTCCCTTTATAAAGGGATCTACTTCACAAATATACAAATTGCTCATTCTTCAGAGTATACAGAGACAGCATATGGGGCCCCACCCATCATCCTGACCCCTCTGACAGCCTCCAGGGCATTCATCACCACCATGGCTATCCGTGTCCAATAGACCTTACTATGCACCTCCACCCTCCTGCTCCTCCCTGTAACCAGTGGCCAGCCTGCCGTCTCCTGAGCTGCCTGCTATGCTTTACCTGAGAAGCCACCTCAGGGGACAGGCAGAAACAACTCTCTTCTTTTTGAGTCAATAAAGCCACTGGAGGTTCCTGCACACACACTCCCTATGCACTCTTGTCAGTCTCAGCTGAAATTGATTTATCAGAGAAGCAGCCACCAAGCTAGACCTCAAGGACAGGGAAACAAAATCATCAGTCTTAATGGGGTAGGGGAAGGCCTGAAGCTAGAGAAAAGTCCAGAACCAGGAAAATTCTGAGTGGACTGCCACGGTGGAGGGTCCATGGCTGAAGTCTCCAGGTTCTTAGGGCAGGGACAGTCACTGGGAGGGAGAGGGCCGTGAAAGGAGGCAGGCAGGGCACCCAAACAAGCTCAAATCACCTCACAGGGCCCTGGCTACAGAGGTGAAGGATGGCAGCACCTTCTGCCTCCCTTGCTTAGCCCCAAACCATTTCTGGTGGAGTCACAGACTCAGCAGTCAGCATTCAGTCCTGAACTTAAAGACTTCATTCCCCACCCCATTTCTCCAATGCACCCCCCAGCATTTAGCCTTGCCTTTGCCCAGGGCAGCCTGGGAGAAAAAAATAGACTAGAGGAAGAGAAAGGAGAATGTGGGTGTGGGCAGTGGGGTAGAAGAGGGTCTCTTTTGGAGAAAGTGACTTCAGGAACATGACTGAGGTCATGCCTGGTGTAGAGCATAGAGTGGAAAATGGGTCACCCTGAGCTGTGGCCACAACTGAGCCATGAGGTGTGTGTGGACACAGTGCCTCAGGGGAATCTCAAGGAGCCCTCTACATCCTGATTTCTCTGGAGGGAAGCACCCCTAATTCATATCTGTCCTTCTTCCCAGGGATGATGCCTTCTCAGACAGCCTGAGCCAAAAGGCTGACAGCGAGGCCAGCAGTGGGCCGCTGCTGGATGACAAGGCCTCCTCCAAAAATGACCTCCAGTCCCCCACGGAGCACATCTCGGACTACGGCTTTGGGGGGGTGATGGGCCGGTAGGAAATGCAGATTCATTTTCCCTGCTAGTGCCATGCCAGTTCATGTCTGATTTAGTATAATCAAGGGGGCAGAAAGAAGAGAAGGAAGCTGTGGGCCCTGTGTTCCCCACAAGATGGGCACAACTGGATGGGCTGGTTGGATTTGGCCCAAGAGAGCTGGGTATAAAACAAATCCATCGTGGGGTACAGGGGTATAGAAGGAGGAAAGACATATTGGCAACTCAGTGTTTTTCATTTAAAATAAGAAGAAAAAGAAGAGAGAGAGTTAAAGATTGGCCAGTATTGTTCCTCTCTCTCCACTTTCTGCACCTCCTCCTCACTTGCTGTGGAAGACTTAAGTTGTTACATAAAAATTTCTAACTCATACACACCCTGAAATGCACCATGTAAACAGAAAACACACACCCACTCATGCAGTGGGGGGAATTGACACTCAACACCACCTATTCATTTGGTGGGAACAGATTTTCCAATTTCTCTCTGCTGCCTGGGTATGGGCCAGGCATGACCTTTCTAGGGCAGGTATAGTCCAAAGTATGTGGCTTAAAAAAAAAAAAAGAAAGAAAGAAAGAATAGGAAGCAAAGAGAAAAAGAAAAGCTGACCATTTCTTAACTGCTTTCTTAGTTTCTTAGATTCTCCAACTGTCCTATTCAATTTCCAGTAGAGAGGTTATGTGAGACGTTATGTGATCAATCCACACAGATAGGTACTTGCAGATAGAGCCAAGGAAGTCAGTCCCAATGGGAACCTAACTTTATGACTTTTTCTCAGCAGAAGTCCTGTTGCCTCTTTTTAGCATGCTCTAGTCAGTTCAGCACAAAGCTCAGCATTGAGAAAGGTGATATGATTGGAAGAAAGTGGCAGGCTGGGGTAGGTAGATGAAAAAGCCATGGTCTCTGGACTTCTAGGAAGGCCAAATCTCCTGCCTCTTTTTCTGTCCCTCTTCCCTCCTTCAGCTACTTTCTTCTTTCTTTCCAAGTATCTCTTCCTCTCCCACACTTATGCTTTAGTCCTGTTGGGGTACCCACAGGCATTGCTTAGCTTGGCTGCTGGCCATACTGAACTTGGTCCCCCAGTAACAATCTATTCCCAGCACATGGTCCCTCCTCGCCACTTCCAGCCTCCTCTCCCTTCTCCAGATCCTTTGTGACCTCATAGGATTTACCAGTCTCCTGTGTGGAGAACTTTTCATGTTCCAGGTGTTTTCACACCTGCTGACCCTCACTCTAAGGTGGGCCAGGAATAGTATGCTCATTTAACAGATTAATAAAATGCATCTGAAAGAGGACACAGGACAGCGTGTGACAGAGGCAAGGACTCACCCTCTTGACACACCCTCAGTCCCCTTTTCACTCCATGGACCCTCCACAAGGGGTGAAAGATATCCAAATGCATGATAGGATTGTCTGATGATTCAGTGTTTACTCAATGCACTAGTTCTCTAAGTTCTGAAAAAGCCTCATTTAAAATAAATGGGGGTGGGGGGCAATCTTGGACTCTGTTCTATTCCCAGGGAGCTCCTCCTGTCCTTGGAGGGAGCTGATAACTTTGTGGTACAGTCAAGCCTCTATCCTTCAGATCCTGTAGAAGCCCAGCCCTGGGAAGGTCTGATTAAGATTGTTTAAGATTGCTCTTCGAGCTGAACTAACCAAACTGTCCCCAGGTTGAAATCCTATTGGCCTTGACGTTAACATGTAGACAATAATCATTTTGAAATTAGCGCCTCTATTGTCTGCAGATTGTAAGTAAAACGCAGAGTAAACTTCCTCCTGTAGCAGCTTGCTCAGGTGCCAAGCCTCTCTTCTTGCAGAATCTACGAGGTTTTACTGTACCCACTCCCTACACGGGCGTGTTGTTCGTGGCGTGGTGTTAGCTGACATTCCGAGACCTGCCAGGGTTGACTTCTGCCCTGCCCCTGCCCCCGGCTCCTTTGCAGAGTGCGGTTGCGGTCTGACGGAGCGGCCATCCCCAGGCGCCGAAGCGGGGGTGACACACACAGCCCGCCCCGCGGCCTGGGCCCCAGCATAGACACTCCGCCCCGGGCCGCCGCCTGCCCCAGCAGTCCCCACAAAGTCCCTCTCACCCGGGGGAGGATCGAGAGCCCGGAGAAGCGGCGGATGGCGACGTTCGGGAGCGCCGGCAGCATCAACTACTCCGACAAGAAGGCGCTCTCGGAGGGGCACTCGATGAGGTCAACGTGTGGCTCCACTAGGCACAGCAGCCTGGGGGACCACAAGTCCCTGGAGGCCGAGGCCCTGGCAGAAGTAAGGGCCAGCGAGATTCCCGAGGGGCTGTGGGTGGGTTCTGCAAAGTGGGAAGCCGGCTAGACCTTAGGCCAGGCTCATAGCTAAGCTAGAACCAAAGCTAGTGAGTGCGGTGGTTGCCCTCCCTACTGGGCCTCCCCGTGGGAGCAAAAGCTTTAGGGGCAGCCACTGCCTAATGTTTCCCCAAAAAACGGTGAAGAGCCCCGTCCTGAAACCTGGACAGGGGATTCCGGCCCTGAGGGGTGGTGTGGCAGGTCTCTCAAGAACAAGGGAGGATTGAGTTTTTAACTCTTTCATCTGTTCCTTTGTTCATTGTTTATTGGGAAATATTGGTTATATGTTGTGTGGCAATTGCCATGGAAGGCACTGAGAGTATAGTGGGACCTAAATTGGACTCAGGCCCTCCCACATTGAGAAGAGAGAGAAGGCAGTCAATAAGCATACACAGAGAGAAAGGTGAAATGGCAGTGTTCAGTGCCCTGAAGGAGTAGAAATTGGTGCTCTCAGAGTCTCCCGTGTGGAGATTGCAGCCAGACAGGGCTCCTCATCCTTGAGGAGGAGAACTGCAAGGGATGGGCAGGATTAAATAACTGAAGCTGGAAGGGAAGAATGTCCAGGTTCTTCCAAAATGCTTGGAGTTATTGTTGTTGTTTTCTATTTTGATGAGAAATCTGTGGTTTTCACACGTGCCAAACAAATGTAATTGTGACTTCCTTAGCAATTTGAGAAACTGTTTCATGCAAATACAAGTGTCCATTTTTTTCCTCTGAAATTTGGAGTGGGGCTTGTTATGTACCCCCACCTCAATGTAATTTCCCACTTAAGTAAGAGAGACAACCAGATCCCTTCTGGACTGTGAAAAAATTGTTGTGGATAGTGACATCTGAATGTTCAAAAAGAGGAAGGGAAAAGGTTATGAGGTGGGCTGTGTTCCAGAGGAGGTCAGAAATGGTTTCAAAGAAATACTCAATACAGAAAACAACTCCCCCGGCAACAAAACTCCTCTTCAGACCCTTAGGGTCTAGGTTGGTGCCATCTCCTTGTGCCCACCCCTGAGGGATTCCTGAAGATGGGGCATTGGCATGAGGCCAGCAGAGGAGGCAAGCCACCTAGTGGTTCCTTCATTCTGAAAGGCCATCCTCTCAGAAAACCTCTCCCTAGCATCCACTGTGGTCTGGAAGTGCTACTGAAGGTCATGGGGGGTTACTGCCTGAGGCTTGGCCCGCAGTCCTTTACATAAGAAATCACCACACAGTCTAAGGCAGTGTTTCCAAAGAAGGTCCTGTAGCAGTCTATGGGATGTTAATGGGAGAAGGGGGTTGTTTTATGGTCCACAAAGTTTGGGGAGTGCTGGTTTGACAAAGTTGAATGCCTTTTCAGTAGGGCCTTTGAGTACCTTTGACTATGTTGATGTGAGTTGTGGATCTCTAAGAGAGGAAGTGGCACAATCCATCTCCCAGACTTTTTTGACCTTTATTCACCAAGCATGTAGCAAAATCAGCCCAGAGACTACACTTTTAGAGGACTGTGTCTGCTTTTCAGGTTGCAAAGATATTTACATTCTGACTTGATAGCTGCCCCTTAGAGTTCCTTTCACAGAGAGAGAATTGGAAAACACAGTAAACAGTGTTCAAATAACCAAAAGAGGGCACTGAACAGCCTCCAGCCTGCTCAGTCTCTAGCTTCCTCAACTTCCATTAGGATGAGCTCTGGACTGTGCAGCTACAAAGGGGAGCTGGGACCCTGGGGATCTCATGTAGTAGATTTCCCCCAATTCTCTGGTCCCAATATGTCCATGAGGATTTAGATTAAAGAGGTTGTTTGGGGACCTTGCAACACTGCCAACAAAAGTAGGGCTGCTGAATGTGATGTTCTCATTTGGGAAGAGGTGGAGAGTGGTCACATCCCCACCAACCCCTTGCTCCACCGTGCCTCTCTGCATCTCCACGCTGGACTAACGCCAAGCACCGCCTAAACAACTCAGCTGATCTCTCTCTGAGCTTTCTCTTCTTCTGGCCTCACACTCTGCCAGGGTAGAGTGGTGGTGGTGGTGGTGGAGGGGGGATAATTACGTTTTACTAAGGTTTTGCCTTTCAGCTCATGCTGGCCTAGAGCAAACAGACAGTAGTGATGTCAATAAACCAACGAACAAACAAACCAGCTGCTGTCGAGTTGATTCTGACACATGACAACTCCATGTGTGCAGAGTGGAACTCCCTAGGAAGCAGATTGCCAGGCTTGCTTTCTGAGACATCTCTGGATGGGTTTGAACCACCATACTTTCAGTTAGTACTCAAATGCTTAACTGTTTGTGCCACCCAGGGACTGCTAGTGATATCAATGTTGTTGTTGTTGTGTGCCATTGATAAGGGTCTTAATTTACACAGAGTGAATGATGATGGCAACGGATTAGTGATGACTGTGCCAAACAGGCTTGATCACTCTGGGGTGGGGTGTGGACAGCATCCTCACCAGAAATGGGGAGAGGACTTCATCTCTCCTTTCACACATAAGTCCCCCCACATCTACTCTTTTGGATTAAGGTATAAAAGTCCCCATCTTGCCAGTGTCATGGGGCAATGGGGTAAATGTTTTTGGGAAGCATAAAAGCTATTAATTGGCTGTTAATCAGCGCATCAGTTGTCCCTTAACAAATCCAAAAGGGCAGACTGGGACAATGAAGTGAGGAAGAACAAGAGACCCGGATCAAAGTCAGACTGGAATAGTCCTGGGTGCCCTGGGAAGGCAGGAGGCCACCACAGACAGACAGGGAAGGACTTGGTACAGAAAGGGGGCTGGCAGAGTGTCTCCAGAATCTAACCATGTCAGTCTCACTACATTTTTTTTTCAGGATTTGCCTCAGGGAGGAAAAGCAGTATCTTGAGAATAACCACCCCTAGTGGAGGATGGCTTTCAGCAGTGGTCTTAAGTGATGTTTCTCATCGAACCTCAATGGCCTAGCAGTTGGGCTCTGGCCCAGCTCAGCCTAAGTGGTTCCTCTTCATCTGTGTGACGTAGAGGCATTCCTGTACAATTCTAGGTGAACCATGAGCTCTGGCTAGAAGGAGCTGGAAAACCACTGTCTGAAGCCTTACAAAGCTTCATTCACTCACAGCATCTTCACAGTCAACTTGTGAGCTTTCACAGATGAACAATGTGAGGTTCAGAACAACTAAGACTTGCCCAAGATCACAGAGCCAGCAAGCGGAGAGGGGTCTGATCACTCAAAATTCCGGGGTCCTTTGTCATATCCAGAGTCCCTGGGTGGTACAAACAGTTAACATGCTCAGCTGCTGACTGAAAGGTTGGGGGTTCAAATCCACCCAGAAATGCCTCTAAAGTGAGGCCTGCAGGTCTACTTCTGGAAAATCTGCCTTTGAAAACCCTGTGGAGCATAGTTCTATTCTGGCACACATGGGGTGACCCTGAATGTGATTCAACTTCATGGCAACTGGTTTTATACTTGCCTAATAAAATACAAGTTTATTCTAAATGAGGATTCTGAGGCTCAGAGAAGTGAAGTAACTTGGTTAAGGTCACATCACAAGGAAGCAACAGAGTTGGGATTTGAACCCAGGTCTGGCTGCCTTTAGAGCCTGCCCTCTTTTGCAGTTGTCTAAGCTGCCCTTTATAAGCGTCCTTTCTGTGCAGGACATTGTGCAGGGGTTGCCCACATTAATTCACCTATTTGATCCTGTGACGATCTGGGGGTTTAATTTCCATCCCAGCCATGAGACACCAGTTCCATCCCAAGAAGGCCACAAGCTGACTAGCCCTCAGGCCTCTGGCCTCTGTGCTGACCAGAGCTCTCTGTGTCCCCAGGACATCGAGAAGACCATGAGCACAGCTCTTCACGAGTTGCGGGAACTCGAGAGGCAGAATACAGCCAAGCAGGCGCCAGATGTGGTGCTGGACACCCTGGAGCCTCTGAAGAACCCACCAGGCCCCATCAGTTCAGAGCCTGCCAGCCCCCTGCACACCATTGTAATTCGAGACCCCGATGCTGCCATGCGCCGCAGCAGCAGCTCCTCCACCGAGATGATGACCACCTTCAAGCCAGCCCTGTCCGCCCGCCTGGCTGGCGCCCAGCTACGTCCGCCCCCCATGCGGCCTGTGCGGCCTGCGGTCCAACATCGGTCCAGCAGCAGCAGTAGCTCAGGCATGGGCAGCCCAGCCGTGACTCCCACAGAGAAGATGTTCCCCAACAGCTCATCGGACAAATCAGGCACCATGTGACCTGCAGGAGGAGATGCCACCACGGTGGCCCACTGTGGTGCACCATGGCCCAGGGTGGCCTCTGGTGGCCTCCTCTTCCTCCACAGTGGTCCTGCCTTCCGGGAAAGACCAGAAGGCCAGCCTGGAAGGCTGTGTCTGTGCAGAGCTGAGGCTGAAGGCATTTGCCACAGCTCATGTTCAGCCACGTGAATCCAACAGACCTCTCATGTGTAAACAGATACCCTGAGGAGTACAGGAGTAAGAACAGCCCCAACTAGAGCATTTCCTAAGATTGTGGCAAAATGTTAAATGGCTTCTCCCACATATCGTCACTGGAAAATTATTCTCTCTACGTACATATATATGCATATATATATGTATATGCGTGTATATATATATATACACATATATATGTATGTATGTGTCTGTAGGTATGTGTGTGTATATATATATATTTATGCATCTATATACATATACTAGATCTGGACACACACATACTAAATGTATATAGTATCTCTTTTTTCTTTTTATGAAACTTAGATTTACCTCAGACCCATGCCACCAAACATCTCCCACTGAGTGATTTGGTGGGATTTGCAGGGACTTTTCTGGGAGAATTTAGAGGCCCACAGTAACTGCGAATGAAGCAATACACCACTAGCCTGCAGAAACAAAAACACTCTCCCACTGTTTTCAGAAGTCGTGGCCTTCCAAAACAGTCTACCCCATAAAGGAAGGGTGGGGCAGGCAGTACCCCAAGCAGGCTGCTCCTAGAGGTGGGGAATCCTATACAGAAAACCCCCTTCCACCCCAGAGACCCTGCCCTTCCACCCGGAGGCCAAAGGCCAACTGTACCCCTAAAAGCACGGGAGGAAGTTGGCGAGAAGAATCCCAGACCACGGACCCCTTGTGTTTGTACGTAGAAAAAGGGGGTAATGAGAACCTAAGCCCCGTCATAGCACAGGATTATGTGTGGTTGGGACAAAGGGAAAAAAAAATATACAGTGGTGTGGAAAACTTCAAATCCTAGAAATGCTGTAGGAATAAATCTGTGGTAACTGTAGGGGTTTAACTTATACCATTTTCAAAATATTTAATTTTTTCTCTTCCTCTTTCTACTAATTATACTGTGTCAGATTTGGAACTTACAGGCAAGGAGGCTTTGAATCCATCATCTGATTTCATGTCAGGCCAGGACGACTTTGGCTGGTGCCCTGCTGCATGAAGTGCATGAGCCCAAGGCGCCCGGCTAGACCAGGGCCAAGGAGGGGTGAGCCTTCACACTTTCTGCACTAGAGACCACCACCACGGTTGAGTTTATGCAAGTGAAATACCTCCCCTCTCTCCTTCCCCTTCCCCTCCTCCAACTCCTCTGGAACATTTAATGTAGATGAACATGGTGAAGAGAAGGGGTGGGTGATCTTCCAGAAGAAAGGGCAAGGCTTCTGCCTCCTGTCTAGGAAAGGGCCTTCTGGGCCACTCTCATCTGATTCCATTTTACTTCCTCGTTTGATCTCTCGGCTTTTCATTTCTAGAGATGGGTTGTTTCTGGATGATGAAACACAGGTGAATCTTGTCCTAGTGGGACACTTTGACTTGCCCTTCATGCCAAGCCAAGGGTCTCCTCCCCACTGTGCTCATGCCTCATCTCCTTTTTCTCTCTTTAAGACTTCTGAGTATATCTCCATGGCTGTGGTTTGGAGTCAAAATCTTGTGTTAGAGTCCCAGCCTTGCCACTCAGGAGCTGTGTGACATTGGGCATGACACTCCACCTCACTGGGCCTCAGTTTCCTGTTCCTGTGAGGATAATAAAGAGAAAATGAAGGCATAAAGAGAATGAGCTTTTTCCATTAGAAAGCATGGTGCAAACACCATTGCTTTGGCTATTATTATTACCAAGCTTAGTCTCTTAGCTAAAAAACTATCCGGACATTTCCTTTTGAAACTTCCTGAAGACACGTGAGAAGTCATCAGTGGAATTTTCCTACCAGCTTAGTAAGAGCCCTGAAGCAGGGCTCTGCAGATACAGTGTCCCTGCTGAAGCCTGAAACCCCATCATTAGCATTGCAACCCATTGGATTTAGTTTTGTCCTCGCCTCTGGTCCTCTTTAAAAAGGAAAATATACCCCACAGGGAGGGACCTATAAGATGCTGACACCTGGGCGTGTAGGAGTTGGAAGTCATTCTTTCAAGTCTGGAAGGGCCAGCACTGAGGCTTAACAGTGGAGGGAAGAATTGAGAAAGGGCACAAAGAGAGAATGGCAGGGAGAGTTGGATGACAAACTTGACCTTCCTCATTTCACTTGGAACCACCCCTTATCTTATAGCTCCCAGATATGAAAAGACCTTCAGAATCAATTAAGAGCCCTTTGAGCATAAAGATATTATCCTATATATATCTTAAGAAAGTTAGGCTTTGGGATGTGTAGTGACTTGTCCAAGATAGCTGAGGGTGGGCTGTCAGACTAGAAATTTAATTGCAAGGATGCTGTGCTGTCCACCCAGAATATAAGACTTCTCATTTCTATTCCAGAGATAGTGACCTTCAGTCTAGTAGTCTCCCACATCCTGTAACATTTTCTGCCATGACTACCAGATGAAAAGTGAAAATTGGAGTTGACGAATCTGTTGTCTGATACATCTAACACCAGTCTCCTTCTGGGCTAATTTTATTTTCTCTTACTAGACATGGACCTGCCTTCCACCAACTCACATGACAGCAGAGCCTTAACTGTTTTCTTAAGCACCCACTTTTCCATTGGGAAACAGTTGATGGTTTCACATTTAGGAGCTGGCGGATGTGTTCCCACTCATCCAGTCACAGCTCTGAGCCCTGATGCAAAGAACCAAATGGAACACGAGTCCCCACCCCCCATCTCCTCACCCAGCACTATGCATGTCTCCGTGTCACCCTCCACATGTGTCCATCTCCATCAGCGTGCCGGGGACATTGGCATCTCCTCCTGACTCCTGCCTGTGTTAGTCCACTATATATTGCTGTATTTGCTTAAATGCTGGAAAGTAACTGTTAAAATGTGAAACTGTAATTTTTTTAAAGGCTACAAGTAAATTATAGCCAATGCCACTCACCAAATCTTTGCACCTAGTAGATAGATCAATGTAAAAACCAATACCAGAAACCTAACTGTACAGTGAGTGTGGGGGAAATGTAGTAACCTAGTTAGTAGTCCTCAATATAACCAATTGTACAAGGGGAAGTGGTGTTTACCTACTTGTCCATTGCCATCACTGAAAGCTGAACTGATTGATAACTTGCTTCACAGAGTGATTTCTTTCCTTAACCTTTGACTTGCCTCAAGGTCAAGGCTTTTGTTTCTATGTGTAACCGATGTTCAGTCTATTCTAGGAATGAACCAGCAAGATGTTCATTTAAAACTGACCAAAGACAATTAATTCCTGGTCCAGTTTTGGGCCTCATGGCCCAGCTGCCGCTGAAGACCACCAGCGGCCAACCTCTCTGGGGTAAAATTGAGAACAAGCCGTGCTTCCTACCCCGTTGTCCCTCCCCCTTTACTCCCCTTTCCTCTTAAAGAGCTGCTCTGAACTGTGGGATTCTGTGAAAAATTCTTGCCTTTCCTTGTTTTCAGTGCTAACGATTTCTCACCTTGAAGCGCCTTTAGAACCCTGGACAGAGCACACATTTGGAGGGAATTGTGGGCTTGGGAATTAGACTTGGGAGTCTTTTCTCTGAAGTCACCAGGCCAGAGGTCAGAAGACAAATGGATTCCCAAGGGATGAAAGGTTCCTATTCACTGAAGAAATCAGAGTGGGAAGAGACACAGGGAAATCTAGCCATCGTTTGGCTACCGGCTGGAACCAGCAGTTCAGAGATCTGCCTTATAAACATTTAAGAACTGGTTTGCGGTACACAAAGGGTAACCAGCGTCGGGGAAGGGCCTTTACATGAGGCTTTCTTCTCTGTTGGAGTCCCTTGGAGTGCCTTGTTGGGTATATTTCTCTCTCATTCAGGAGGCATGAATGCGAAGGCCTGCCTGTGACCTGGTCGTGTTCTGGCACTCAGCGTACATACACAGCTGATGGAGAACCAACCACGAGGACTAATGCAATGGTTTTTCCTCTCAGTCTTTCTAGTCCTAACTTCTCACACATCCAGATGGTTCCACGCTAGGGTAAATGGTCCGGCATGGCTGGCTCACAACCATCGTGCAGGGCTCTGTTGGACTTGGAGGGGACGAGGAGGGAAAGGCAGAAAAGGGTGAGCCGAGGTGTTGCTTAGCTGATTTCTGCTATGCAGAGCTAATGCTGACGTTTCACGTCAACTTCCCCGGTTCTCTGGGGTCTCCTCTCTTCTGAGCAGCGATGTAGAGAATTCCCCACATACCTAACGCTGCACAGGGAGCTGTGAGAAGGGACTTTGCTGTCAGGTCTGAGTCCTCTCTGGGGTTGATCTGCCAGTGTCCCACCATCCCATCCTCGGGGACTGGCCAAGTGGCTGTCGCTGCCCCTCACTGACCCCTCCTTTCTGTGTGACCTGCCCCAGGCAAATCACAAAGCTTCTGTTCCTTGAACCAGAACAACTGGAGTGCACTTTTCCTTCCTTTGCTGGAAGTAGACCCTGGCTAGAGTTCCTGTTCCAGCTCTTGTGCCCAGCAGTATGACTGTTTACTTGGTTTGGCAATAGGTTTGATTCTGATTGCTTCAGAGTGGCTGGTCTATTTCGTTCTGTTTGGTTTCTTTCCTCCCTAAATTGTGTCAGGAAAAACAAATTGAAACCACCCTAGGAAATTGCTGGTTGCCTGTCCCACGTGATGACAAGTGTTGCCCTCTCCTGGATATTGTTTCTCTACCTTACGACCAAATGCCTGTCCCATAGACTGTCTGACTGGATCCTCTGTCGCGTGTTCTGATGGTGCCTGCTGGAGCTATCCTGTGAAATAAAACAGCTTAACTTTTCTCAAATGTGCTCTGGTGGCTTTTTGAAGGGACGAGTGACATAAGGGTGGAAGGAACTGAGGGGTGTTCTCACCTTCCCACCCATTCTGTCTGTGTGCTTTCCCCATCCTCTGCCCCTGTAATGCCCTTTAGCTCAGATCCAACAAGGTGAAGGCCTGGATTATGAAAGGGACTGACTGCTTCAACCATAGACTTAATGGAAGACGGTGACTGCTAGGAAAGCAGAAACTGGAAATGGCAAAGCCATGGCAAATGGGAACAAGGGCTGTTGTCTTTGGAAAGGGTCTTCTAAAGTTTACAAATCACCAGGTGCCACAGGGTACTGACTTCCAACGTGAAGGCATGCACAGCATTTCCATATTCATTATCCACATACACACCAGATAGCCTCCTGGACTTTTTTTTTTTTTTTTTGCCTATTTATGTGCCTATATGAACTGTTTACTGATTACTTATTGCTGTCCCAGGCACTAAATTAAGCCCTGTACATGCATTTTCTCATCTAATTCTCAAAACAGTCATTGGAGGTAAGTATTATTATAGGCGTTGGTGGTTCAGTGGTAGAATCCTCACCTCTCAGGTTGGAGACCGGGGTTTGAATCCTGGTCAATGCATCTCATGCACAGTCACCACCCGTCTGTCAGTGGAGGCCTGCATGTTGCTATGATGCTGAGCATGTTTCAGCAGAGCTTCCAGACTAAGATGGCCTAGAAAGAAAGGCCTGGTGATCTACTTCTGAAAATCAGCCAATGAAAACCCTGTGGATCATGACAGCCTGACCCCCAACCCATCATGTGGACGATGCAGGACTGAGCAGCATTTCATTTCCTTGTGCGTGGGGTCATCTTGAGTTGGGGGCTCTTTCAACAGCACCTAACCATCATTATACCCTGTTCTGCAGGTTAGGAGACTAAGGCTCTGTGAGGGCAAGCCCAAGATTAGGCTTGGAAGTGGAGGAGGCAGAATTTGTACCCAGTCTGTCTGACTCCAATGCCATACCCTTTACAATCTCTCCTTGTACATGAGCATGACACTCAGGTTGGGTTCAGGATCTTGTTTTAAAAGTAAACTGCTGGGTTGGCAGAAAATGGGCCTCTCGAAGAGTATGAAGGGATGGACACTGGGAGGAGGTAACTATGGGGAGGAAGTGGGAGGGGAGCTGCTGCATTGTAAATTTTGGTCAATGACATGAG